AGAGCAATTTTAGACAATATTCGTTAGTACATGAGCAATTTTAGCCCCTTTCCTTTAATTATTATCAAGTATAAAAAAAGGTTATCCATTATACATTTTCATCCACTAATAATTACATTTCTATATTCTCTCTCAATAATTTTATTTTGTGGACATTATGACTCCAGTCTACAGGAATATAAAAATATTCCCATTTTTAGACATTTCAAATGCTTGAGACGTCATTCCACGAATTATATTATTTAAAATTCAAATTAATTTGACTTAAGAAATGCAGATTAATTGAACATCACCAAAGTTGTGGAGTTATCACTTTCCCACAGAATATTCTGAGAAATTATATTTTATAGTCCTCTGTCAGATAGCTCTGCATAATTTCTATTTTTGTTATAAAATGTCAGGAATCTTATAAGGATGCTGATATATTTCTAAAGAAAAAAAATAGTATGTTATTTTTGTGAACTTGATATTAATTAAGAAATAGCATTGTGAATCAAACGATGAGAGCCTTAGAGCAACAATAAAGTTATCCTCGCGTGAGGTCACGGGTTCAAATTGTAAAAGCGGTCACTGATACTTGTATTAGGGCAGACTGTCTATATCACACGGCCCCTTACGGCCCGTCCCCTAATCTTGCGTAAATGCGAAATATTTTGTACACCGACCAGCGTTATAGTGAATCAAACGTAGCTTCAGCTAACAATTTGACTGGCTGTCCATGTGAATTATTTGATGGAATAAGTTGTCTTTCTTCTACCTCACATTAGCTGTAATTAATTATAGAGTTATTAGACAATAATTGTATGCTTCTAACTATCAACTACATGATGTTGAAATCATCTTCATCATATTATATTTGTTGATCCTACAAATATATCTCTTTTTTTATTTAATATTTTCGAGAGTACGTTTTCCTTTTATTACTGTCGAGATTTTGCTTTCCTTGAGCCGAGGGTCTATCAGAAACATCATCTCTACCTTCACAATGTATACAGACTACTCTCCCCAAACTCCACTTGTGGAATTATACCGGGACTAGTGTTGGCAAAATGGTTAAAAGAAAACAGTTAACCCCATATTATTCACTAGAAAATGGGCTGGATAATGAACTTTTTAAAAACGGGTCAAATATGGATAAGAACCATATTATTTATTTAGAAAATGAATAACTAATGCGTTTAACTTTTACATTTGTAAAACTTCAAATTGGGGTTCCTCAAGTTTGGGAGACTAGGAATTCTTCTAAAAATGATCATATTCAAAAAGTCATGGATAATAAGAAATAGGGAAATTACCAGCTATGTCCATTTATAAGTAGCTCATTACAAAAATTGGCCAATTGATAAAATATTACTAATATTAGCCAAATTAGCCAATTAGCTATTTGTAGCAAAAAAATATCAAGTTTTTGCTTTATTTTGAGTGGGTGTTATTAGAATAGATTGGGCACAAATTAAGGAGCTTAAATCTCAGTTTTGCGATGATTTGGTGAAGTTTTGAGGTGGTTTGAATTGAAAATTCGAAGTAAAAGCTGAACAGAAAAAAAATGATATGTGTATCACACTGTGTATCATTTGTGTATCACATATGTATCATGTTTGTATCTATTGTTCATCACATGTATATCCATGTATACCTGTGTGTGAGAAACATGCGTGATACATGTTTGATACATGTGCGCAGAAGACTTTTTTTTGAACTCGATTTAATTACGAATTTTGATACAAAACCAGTCCAAATCGCCTCTAATCTTCGTCAAATTTTGTATATTGACTTATCTATATATTTTCAATGAATTTCAACTATACCCATTGAAAAAGTTCCTTTTTTGTTTAGATTTTTGGAATATTGTATAGATTTTTGTATTTCATCACCTTATTTGCTACCCCGTCCATGAAATTTCCTTTCCGTCTTGTATCTAATGTTGCTAATTACGCTTAAAATATGAAAGGTGATTTTTGCATGTGATTCTTTGATAGAAAGAACCCTATTATTTGGTTTTTCAATTTTTATTGGCTAGTATTGGTAAGTCTATGACTAATGGCTAGAGGTTGGTAAGTTGAGATTTATTTGGGACATTTGTGTAAGTTTTCCTAAGAAATATCCATATTATCTGCCGGTTAGCCCTTTTTTTTTATCCATATTAAATATGAGTCGGGTTGGAATATTAATCCGTTTTGCATTACTTGTTTACGAACTAATCCATACCCGACCCGACCAGCCCATTTGCCACTCCTAACTAGAGCTGTTATTGTTGTTGCTATTAATTTCGAGAGCACGTTAGTGTCAATGGATAAAAAATATGAAATTACTTTAAATTTTTTAAAAAGAGAACTACGTTTAAAATAAAGATTTAATTATATATATCGACATTATGAAGTTACTTGTAAACTATATAAATAAATTGATTGTGTAAATATATTTTATATCATCAGAGAATAGAACTTAAATTCATATAGTAAACATTTATAGTTAACAAAGTCGAAAAAATGAATTTACTTAATTATCACTTAAAAAAAAGTTTCACATCTACCATACCACTTGGAGACAAAATTGATATGTTATAAGATTTGCAGACAATAAAAGAATATATTCTGGGCATAATATATTCTTCAGTATATAAACCAAGAAAGAAAATAAAATAAGGGCATGAAAAGTCTATCAATTCTCCTACACAGAAATATTAATAAGAATTATAAAAAAAAAAAGTAAAATAATAAAGGGTATTACAGATGTCCTAATATAGAACTAGTTTTATTATTTATATAATTTTTAGCTCTGGCCAATGGGACCTAAGTAACCTACCATGTTCAAGAAAGAAGCAAACAAATCCCACTCAATCTGGAAATTACAATCTTTTCTTAAGTATAAAGATTTGGTCATTTGGGCTTTCCCATTAAATTTTCCATAGTTTTGTGCAAATAATCATTAAAATATTTAAAACTTCTAAAAGGCTTCTATTTTCTTCCTTATATATGGGAGCACAAGTAATTCCCTTGGAGCAATAGCTTTCC